GATTTTGAACCGACGGCGGCACTGGAGTGGGAATTTTCTGGGGCAGATCGCAACGCCCCCCCCATGTCCGTTGACACGGGAATCCAAAGAAACGCGCTTAGACGAATCCCCATAGCGCGTCCGCACGTGGTTGGCGTCATCAATTAAAACACCGTGCGGACAATCATCCCTTCGAACTGTGGGCACTGTCTTTTGACTTCACGTCTCGTTTTTGAGGAGACCTCTAGCAGCAAGGCTCAATGAGCGGGACCATCAAACTCATAAGCCCCAACCGACGTTCATCAACTCCGGGTCTTCCGCAACGTCCTCGACTGACAACGAGCCTATTTCAACGTCGATAATCAACACCTTGTAAGTTTCCTGTCCCTTAGCACAAGCTATACGAGACCATGCGCTTACTTTACACCTTTTCCAAATCAAGATACACGTCATGGCGACCCGACGCATCGTGGCCTCGGAGAAGACCATCCTCGAGAAGGATGATGTGGTTGGTGCCAGTCCCGCTGCTGGCGACAAGTCCAACATCACTCCTGCTGTACCAATGGATGTCATCTTGAAGCTTCTTGGATTCACGTTGGCCATGATTGTGTTGCCCATCGGCACCTACTTTGCTACGGTCGACTTCCTTTTCAAGGGTAAGTAAGCTGCACTCGTGTTTCTGCCCTTTCCCATTCCACTGCCAACCACGATTGGACGCGCCCGATTAATCTGATAACCAGGCAATTCGACATTTGCCGGCGCTCTTGCTGCTGTAATGGCCAACGTGGTATTGATCAGTTATGTTATCGTTGCCATGAAAGAGGATCAGAGCGACCAGCTGGAAGCGAAGAAGCAAGGGAAAAAAGACCGTTGAGATTTGGGACGGGCAGTCAATCGACACCTTGGTGCCTGGGGTGGCAGCCTGGAACGCGTTTCACAGTTTCCGTAGGAATGAAAGTTGTGTCACACATCCCTCTCTCTCATCAGAAATGTTACACTGTTGATGGCAAGTTTACCTCTATTCAGGAGATTATATTACGTTGATCTGGTCTTCTTCTAAGACCTGGCTTATTGAAAGCCACACCAGTGTGATAATGAAGCCTTACCAAATTTCCAACGCCTGAACCGCCAAGTCATCCCCAAGCATTGTAGATGAAACATTGTCGTCAAGTCACCATCAAGCCTCCATGGCTGCCGACTTCGCCCTCGTAATCGTAAACTGGATCCTGTGCATATACCTCGATCCAAACAGTGTGTATTTCGTTGTTTTTTTGAATCAGAAAATAGATAGCCATACCTCTCGGCTATACTCTCAAATTGACGACCCACCTCAAAATAGGAACGGCCGTCTCATCAGGGGAGAAGGGTACTCCGGCAACTCCACACCAGTGGCATATCAGGTATAAGCCGATCTCTGCCCGAGAACACCATTACACATCCAGAATCTAAGAAAATGGGGGTATCGACAACGTTAAAACGAAAACCAGCTCATATCTCATGCCTTGTGTTGTTCAAGATGATTTGCTGAAGCGCTTAGAGAACCAGCTCTTTCTCTTGGCCGGCTCAGCAGGTCTAGGCTGCGCCTGTTGCTGCTGTTGCGGTGGGGAGGCGCCAACTGGTCTCCGAAGGACGTTCGCGCTCTGTTGCTGAGGTACCTGGGCTCCGTTGTTCACAGCTTGATAGGCATGTCCCTTTCCATTTGGCGCGCCATTGTCAAACTTGAGAGCAGACGCCTGGTACCCTTGGTCCTGACTGAAGCCAATGCCATAATCATTGGTGGGTTCAGGCCTACGAGCCGGACCGCCACGCTCAATAGAGCTATTGTCGCTACTAGTCGGATCGGTATGGTAGCCTGCATGCTCTCCGGAGCTTCCACTTGCGGCGGCTGATGTAACAGTCTCGTATGAGCGGTCCTTGTTGGGAAGGGGATAGATGTTCTGATCGCCGCGAGCGTAGCCGTTCATGTGGGGATCGGTCTGCGTCCTGGGAACTCTCTGTCGGTAGGGAATGTTGTTGCCGCCATTGTAATGTCCTCCACCATTTTGGTATTGATCGTAGTAACTCTGTCGATTAGACCCCATCTCAATCTGACCGCTTTCGGGACGGAACGAGCCCGGGCGACCGTTGTAGTAGCTGTCATGGGGATGGCGTCCTCCACTGGCTATATAATGGATTAGCTAGGCTGTGCAATCAATCGGTGAGTAGATAAACTTACTGGCATAGTAGCTGCTGCGCCTGTTCCATGTTTGGACCGACTCTGTATCTGAGCGAATATAAGACTGTCGCCGGTCTCGGTCACGATAGCCTCCATCAATGGCGGCCTCGAAACTGCGAATGGTATCAAGGGGTCGTTCCCAACGGCTACGTGTGGGATTAGATCGGTCGGGTTCGGCTGAGAAGCATGGTTAGAAAAAACCGGGTAGGTTTGCGGATCCAGAGCTGTAGCGTACCAATTGGGGCACCGGTGGTGTCCTTGTGCTGAATGGCGCGCAAAGGAGCCAAGGAAGTCTTGGTCATTGCCTGAACGGCGGCTTCGGAAGCTGTTAGATATCTTACAACCGACATCACAGGAGAGTGGTAACTTACAAGGTTCGGCCTCACTCATGGCGACGGTAGGATCAGCTTTACTGTGTAATCTCTTTGCTTCCTTCTCTTCAGGTGTCTCGTGGAGGTCGATCTTGGGGTGACTGCCAGAGCTCTTGTGGGATTTGTTGGACTGGAAACTGAAGGTTCTCGGCCGGGACTTGGAGCGTCTATGGGGAGTTTGATTCTGGGCGTGGGATGGGGACTGCGCCTGGGCGTTGGGAGGTGGTTGAACAGGCTGAGGCTGGTCGTACTGCTGCTGATAAGGCGGGAATTGGGACTGGCCGTTGTCGTATGAGTCGGGGCCTTGTTGGTGATAGTGGTGATTCGGTTGCTGGTGCTGGGGAGGCAGCGCGGGAAGTGGATGGTGTTCAGCCATGACGGGCGACTGGGGAGGGTGCTACTTTTAATTGATCTGTCTCGCAAGTAGGCGGGTTCAGTGGGCGCGGACCTGGTCTCGGCGAGCAAGGTCGATGGATGGAGCTATTGCGTGCCTTATCGCGGGTCAGCAAGGGGAAGAGTGGGCGGGCGGTTCCCAGAGGTCGCTAGCGAGGCGGCCAAGGTTGCGTTTTCCAGGGGTGAGCGTGAGATGATGGAGCGCGGTGGAGCGTTGGAAGGGGCAGAATAGTGGAAGGGAAGGGGGTTTGGGGTGTGCCGTATGCCTGAGTGTGGTGTTTCTGCCGACAGCTGGGATTGAAAGTGGATGCAGAAACTAGCAGAGAATAGTGTACCCGTGGACCGGGCTGTTTCCAGTGTTCCACTTGTTGACGATGTGTGTTGTATGAGAAGCAAATCTTCGGGGACGGAGAACAAGCAGTTCGAGAGCAAGTTGAGGTGCTTGTGTGCTTGGGAGATGTTTTTTCTTTCTTTCTCAGATACTGTCGCAAGGGGGCAGGAAAGCAGGGAACTGGGTGTCTCGAATGTGGCTGGGGGTGAGGTTGAGTCGACAACCTGGAAGGCACTTGACTTGGTACGAACGGCAACGGCAACAACTCCCAGCCGATGAAGCTGCCCAGGTGGGCTGCGGTGTGGTTGTGGTGCCGAGCTGGAAGGAACGGCCAGGCAACCCGACGACAACAGCGATCCAATGAGATGGCGACAGAAACACCAATGACAACGACAAACCCCAGCTGAGGGTACGGGAACGGGAACAGTTGCAGGTGCAGGTGCAGGTGTTGTTGCGATGGAGGGTGCTCACGGACAATTCGGTACGTACCTTGCCTTTTTTTTTTGGGCCGATGTTTCGATCCTTGGTACGGAGTACCTTATGCAGCGAGGTATTGCTGCAAGCTTGGTGTATCTTGCTGCAACAGAAGCAAGAGAGAAAAAAACGGGAGGGAGTCTGAATCTGACTCTCGCGCTCTCCCAAGTCTCAACTCTCGGATGGATTCTGATGGGATTTTGGGAAGACAACTTCGGGCGAGCGACGCCAGGATGTTTGCTGGAAAAGCGCTAGGGCGATTTGAATTGGAGGCGTTACAGGGAAGGAGGGTGGCCGCAATGGGTTAAGCGTCACGTCTTTTTTCGATGGGGTGGTCGGACGCTGGAGTCAGGTCCGGCGACGTAGGGGAAAAAGTGGTGACTGGGGGGCTGGGACGCTCAGGGACGCCGGGGCCAGCAAGTGCTGTCCTGGTGCTGTAAACTGGGTCTGCCCAGACGGCAAGCGCCTCCTACTTGTTGATGAGTGTCTTGGTGATGTGATGTTGCCGTTGGGTTTCTTTTTCCGCCGGCTGGTTCTTCTCCTGCTGTTTGCTGCCAATTTCTTTCTGCCCAGGTTGAAGAATTGACGTGTGTTCCGATATAAGGATGTAAGGATTTTTCTGGTTTTGCTTGGCCGGCTGTGGTTCTTGGCTTTTTGTGTTAGTTCTGTCGCTCTTTCCTTCTTTTTGAGTGTCACCGGCAGTTGCAGCAGGGTGCGGGCAAGCTGGCAGGGTTCCCATCGACCTGAGCCTTAGGTGAGAAGGCTTTTCCTGACAAAGGTACGTACCGGTAAAGAAAGTATCCTGTTTCCTGGCTTTACTTTGGACGGGAGGGTCCTTTGAGGGCAATCAAGCCGTTGCTTCTGAATCTGACGTTCTGCAGCCTTCTTCGAGCGTTTCGTAACAAAAAACGAGTAAACTGGGTATTATGTTTGATATTGCCTGTTGATCGATGATCGAATGCGACGTAGTTGGCGCGTTTGCAGGCGGTTGGTGGTGGGCCCGGAAGGGCTAGGACGTGGAGGCCGTCGATCGTTCGCTTGATGTGCGTGGTGGAACTGGATGGGCAATGCCAATGGCGGTGCAGAGCAATGCGAAATGCTGTCGTTTCCGAATGGCCAATTTCGCCCCTGTCGTCGTCGGTTTGTCTGTCTGGAGACTATCTGGCTATGGCTGACGTCAAGCGGCGGTAATCCTCACGTGTTTCAAAGCGCCTTCGCGTGGTAGCTCGAGGTACGGTATGGCGGAACGCAGCGGTGTCCTTTTCCCCTTTCCTTTAATTTGCTTTTTTTTTTCCTTCTTGTCTTTCTCGGCCCTTCCCTTTCGGCCCTTGGCCTAATGCGTCCTGGAATGGAATGGAATTGGATCGAGAAATTGTCGATTGGGGGGTGCTTCTCAGCTCCTGTGCTTCCAGGACCAATTTGTCCGGTCGCAGAGCACGAATTTTGGTCTTCGCTCCGTGTCGGACGTTTTACGTTCTCGGGTCTGCGTTTCTGCTCGCTGTCCCAATGTCAGCCAATCTATTTTGCATCCATGTGGGCGATGGGTCCAGTGTCTTCTTCATCCCACGTCGCAGCGCCATGCATCGTGGCACGTCCTGGCGCCGCAGCCGACCGCTGCTTGCAGATGATGGACGACCCGTGGGGACCCAAAAGAAATTTCCACCTCTGTGCGTACCTGGTTTTTCTTTCAATGGCCCCTTGCTACTTTGATTATCCCGGACGTGGACGGGTCGCTTGTCGGATCGCTCCGAACAGTGAGGTTTTATCAAATTGCCTTATTATAGATGGTGCTCCGGAGATTGGAAGGGCGTCGATAGCGTCCAAAGCCAGGTCGGGTCAATGACAATGACTGGTCAGCGAAAGAAGGTCGAGGTGGCAAATGATAAAATATGGCGAGATGCCAGTGTGCGTGGTATAGGCAGCGAGTGTGAAAGGTGATTCACTGTAACCCTGCAGGTGTTGAGGCAACGAGGTGGATTAATACGTCGTCAAGTGTGGATGTGAGTGAATCGGGCGAGACCTTTTGGAGGTGTAACAAGGCCAAAAACATAAGGATGGCTTAGAATCCCAACGCAAAAGCGTGGCGGGAGGCCTTGGGTATCTATACGAGCCTCCAACTCAGTTGGGCCAACGAAGGAAGAGCCGGCGACAGAGTGTGTGAGTGCGCGTGTGTGTGACTGGAGGGAAGGCCAGCTGAACAAGGTGGTGTGTAGTGACAAGTCAATGATGATCTCGACGACTAAAGCGTAAAGGTGTGGCCTGTCCTGGTCTGGCCTGTCATGACATGCTATGGCAAGAATAATAAGAAGCTCCGGTGGTACCTATCGTACCTTATGGTCCTTCCCTCACTGAAACCCGTACCTTGCTGCCATTAGGTTACTAGGTAAGGTACTTCATAGTCGTACGAAGCTTTAGAGAAGGTCGGCGCCGATGGGTCCCGCACTTACTTCACGACAAGGGAAGGAAAGAGTGAGGAAATTTTGACTTCGGGGACCTTTCTTTCCCAAGGTCCATTTATGGCGTGGCCTCATAAGAAAACCTATCAAAGGTATCCATGTACCTTTAGTACCTACCGTACGTATGCATACAGGGAATGCCTATCAAACGATGCGGCCTAGCAACTAACACAACCACACAACGTACGACTCCCTCGGGTCTCTCCTCAAATGTCCTCTCCAGGCTCTTAGCATGGGAAAGAAGCTGTACTTCGAACAGATGCACTGCTCCATACAGCCCTGCCTGCCTCGGCCGCACCCTGTTCTCAAATGCCGGGCTTTCCATCGAATGACAGGTGACCGCGCGGGCAGCAAGATCAAACCTTTCTGTCCAGCCTTCCAGTTGACAAGGGGCCAGGATCTATAGAGTCAGAAGAAGATACCTACTGCAGTAGCAAGATGGCCGGTATCGAGTACTGCTCGGATGCAGTGCGCCAACGTCGTCAACAACATTCGAAAAGCTCCCTCCCCCACCGTGCCGGTCTTTCTAGAAACCCAGCAGCCTACTTGGCACAAGCTGCACTGCAGCTGGCCGCAAATTGACGCAGAGGAAATCAAAGGCCTGGCCTTGCATTCCATCTCAAAATTCCAATTGTTATTGCCCGCGTCTGCTCGACCTCCACAGTGCACCCACCCGCCTTTTCCACCTTAGCCGTCTCACGCCCACCTCCCATAACCTGTCACAACCTCCCCAAGCACGTTCCTGGCCTGGAACTCGAGCTTGACGTGTGTTGCCCTGAGACTCCAAACCGCGTGCGTGTACCTCTCAGAATCAGACGCAAGACAAGCACCGGTCAATCAACGGACTCTCAACCATTGGCAATAAGAGGGGTGCTCAGGTGGAGGGGAATTCCTCAAGCCCGCGCCATTACGCGTTTCGCCCCTCATCAACCATCCCACCCGTCCAACCCGTCCAACCCCAGCACAGTTATGAGGTTCCATCCAAGAAAACCTTAGCCTTAGTCCTGCAGGCTTGTAGACGGACGACAAGACCCGATCAGCCACCACTGCCACTGCGCCGAACCAGGATCGACGCCCGGCCAGCCATTACTTCCAGTCAATATTGAGGACAACCGCACACAATCGACTACCTACCTACACTACCTATCATGGTACACGGTATCTGTACCTACTGTACGCGACTGTTTGGGACTTCGTACATGCAAATCGGCGAGGTCGCTACCAGACGGCGCACGACGGGCTTTCATCATTCCCATTCCGCCGCTTTGTTAAATCGATGCTACTACAAACTCCCACCTTCGCTGTACACTATACACGGCCATTCTTCCCACTGGCCAGCGTTGTTGCTGAGCGAGATGCGGCCGCATGGAAGACGTGCGTCGGGGAAGCACAACAGTGGTTCAGTCTGAAACTTGACTGCCTCTGCATCATTCAAGCAGGCAGTCAATCATGATTGTCCTTTCCGATCCCGAACGACAAATCACTCGGTCAGTACCTTATGTGGTTTGTCTGTCTCGCGGGAGCGGGGCTGCGTTGCGACTCATGGAAATTCTGGCACAGCGCCTCAAACACAGTCAGCCAGCATCTTTCATCTGATCCTCGATCCTCAGATGCCATTAGGACCGAACAGCATCTCGACAATGGACCCCTAAGGCCGAGATACTCAATCACTTGGACTAGACGCCAAATGGCAGCGAGGATCATGCCCGTCCCACCGCCTCTCCCTCTCAGTGCTCCACGTTGTCAACTTTTGCCCAGCCCGAGCTTGGGGTGAGATGTTGACCACCCCTGCAAGCCGGTGGACTTCGTGTTCAACGGCCGGCCATACGAAGGCTGACCCGTCGCAGTACTGCGAACCTGCAAGGTCCACTTCCAACCGAGAGTCCGGAATATCAACTTGGCTGCCAGACCGCCGCATAAAGCGTTAGTCTTCAGCTCTGCTCGTCAACTCCCGCGGGTTCCATATTGCATAGTCGAGCTGCGCCTCAATCACAGTTGCACACATGACGCGGATCGATGGCTTACGGTACGCGCACATCAGATACGTGGACGTGTGTACGGAGTACGGGCCAAGTTGCCTCCACAGGGCCGTGAAGGTGTATCCGCTCACTCTTCTACAATTCGTGCCCAGTTCTACACCATATACCAGCCTGTAACTCGGATTTAATTCGCTTGCATCGAGTCTCACAATCAACGGCCAAGGGACCCCAATCGTACCCGTGAAGTCTCTAGGAACGTTTCCATTGCTTCGAGATTTTTCTATACATGTCCAACTTTCTCTGATATCTCCCGCCTTCCCGTATCAAAAATTTTGCGCCTGTCTTTGCAGGAGCCGGTGAAGGAACGCAGTGTCGTGCGGAAAGTCTGGACAAAGCCTGCATCATCGCAGGGTCCTTCCGATGTTGTACCAGCTCTGTATCCCTTCAAGCCGGCGCGGGGTTGCCACTGTCTCTCAGTAGGTATCGTGTTTGATATCTCCATACTTGCTGGATTGGCAATACGGTGACCAGCCGGGGTCGATAAGTCACTTTCGCCTTCTACAGTATACACACACACACACACACACACACACACACACACACACACACACACACACACACATATACACACCACCAGACGAATGACAGGTACATCGAAGGAAGGAAGGGTCTTGAGGCCCGAGCTTCTGGGTAATTCTCTCCATGTTTCTACTGATCGGCCAGCAGCCTTCCATTTTCGCCGCAGAGCACCCAGGTTTCCCCGTCAAACCTGAAATTAAAATAGAACAACGCTTGCCAGCCAGTCATCGACGCTTGCTAGTTTTGCCTCGAAGCATTCTCTGATATCAAAATGCGTGGAAGAGATACCTATGTCAAACGAGAGCTTCATCACCCTACTCATCTCACCCTAGTCACCTTGCATCTTTACGGATGCTCAGTGGTGTTGCGGTATCGAAAACCGGAATCTACGTTCAATACCATGCTTACACCAACATCCCACACCAAAGCTGAGGAAAAGCAGAAAATAGAGCAGAAGTCGAAGGCCAATGGCATCGCGCCGAGCTAAGACGGCCGGGGCTTCCGACGGCTGGTACGGTGAGAGTTTGTAACCCTCTTCAAGCTCGCGCAATCTAGTTACAAGACATGCCAGCAACTGCGTCTATGCTGCAGCCGGGCGGGCTCAAGCAACAGCCCCCTCCCACCATATGCGCGAGACCAATTAACTGGCCGCAGCATGCAGGCTCGGCCAGGTTCTATCAAGATCCCCTCGTTCTTGGAGGCGCAAGTTTGGTCTTTACTGCACGCTATCCAGACAAAGTCGGGTCGGGTTTACTTCCGTGGCACACCATATCCTTGGCCACGCACCCTCTTCGGCCTGTTTCGCACACCACGCCTATCGTGGATTTTGAAAGCCCCGATTGTTGGTCGGGAAATCCCTCCTCAAGCTCTCGCTGCTAGGTGGGTTTCGTCCTCTCTCCATCTCCTCCCACCTTCATGATTCGACTCCGTCGTCGCCCTGTCCTTGGCGTTTCGCCCAATCTCCAACCTTTCGCCTTGCCTAGGAATACTTTTCAGCGTGCCCGGTTATCAACTTATCTCGATACCCTCCATTGATGGCCATCACCGCGCCAATGTAACCTCGACGATTGTCAAGTAATTGAGTTTCCAGACTTCCCGAACTAACTTGCTTGTCGATGCCCGCGGCGCCCTCTCAGAATGGTACGCACAAGGGGACTGATCTCGATCATCCAATGCCTCGATGGCGCAGGGCAGTGGAGGGCGGTAGTTGAGCCCCCAGCAGAGACTGGAAGTGGTTGCGTCCCCCGAGTGGGGTGGAGGGGTACAGAGTGCCTGGGCAGAGAGACCGGGGGTCCCCACGAACAGAGCAGAAACCAAAACCTTGGCGTCCGACGTTTCCCAGATGTGCGGGCTGCTTCAGCCCGATGGGTCTTTTTTTTCGATCCCATCTTTTTTTCATACTTTTTCCAATTTCTTTTCTCTTTTTCTTCCATGACTTCTTCCTGAAACTCGGGGCTCTGTCAGTCGAGGCGTCGCTCCAAAAACATGGGACCGTCATCCTGGCAAGACCGTTGGCTCTCGGATCGCGAGGCTGTCGCGGTCGGTCTCTTCTCTTTTCTCGCTCTTTGACTTTACACGATACCATTGTCGTGTACATCAGCCCTTTTTCTCCATCTTCTGCTGTTTGAGAAGTCTTCAGACGATATCGGTCCTTCCGGGGTTCGTCCTTCTTTGGGTTGTAATGACACAATCTCAGGGTTTTTGGCCCCTTTCCCTCTTTTCCGCAAGCCGCCTTACTTTTTCGGGCCCAAAACTCTATAGTCGAGTGAATTGAGTTTTGGTCTGATAGTGATTTTGCCTCGAACCATTTCTCGGAGAGGGAGCGGGGGAAAAGGGAGGTGACGGGGACCTGACTAAATGACTTCCAATTCTAACTCTGAAGTCGTGTAAGTGTTAAAAAGTTTTCTGCCCCTCGTCGGATCAGAGTGCTGCGGAAAAGGTTGATGGAAGTTAATTTCCTGTCTGTTGCTCCGGCCGGGTTCACTGCCGAGAGTCTCGAAGATTGCGCGACCTCTTTTTTCGCAAACGTCTCATGATGAGGTCTACTATGGGAGGAGCCGAGGCATCTCTAGTTGGCAGGTATGTCAGTTCAGATGAGCAGCCGCCGGTTCCCGATTACCGCGTACGTAGCTGGCTTGCTGATATACGTGCAACTGCTGCCTGTGGAATCTCTGGAGCCTGTCCGTCTGTCTTGTGTCCAGGGGTCTCGTCTTCAAAGATGTCATGAGTTGTAGATCGGTCAAGCAACTTTGGATGCTTCCTCTCTATGATAATTGCCGAACGTAAGTCGCTGTGCCTATTGCAGTTTTTAGAGATTGTGTCTCGCGGTCAAGCCAAGATAAGGACACGCGCATTGTAATGGTAGAGATAGCTCGACATCTTGGAGACCTTTTCTTAATCGACCCTGCAAAAAAATTCACACTCTCCCACATCATACCGGCAACTGAACTTGCGCCAAAGTGCAAAGCATCATCCGTTCATGTGGGTTAGCACAACCTGAAAGCGTAGTGTGCCATATGATATAATCATTCCATTCTTGTGACATGGAGCCATCACTCTATTGCTGGACTACCTTACACGCATGTATGATGGATGTATTGTCCAAATCCTTTCCGAAACTCATTTCCATTCCACTTCTTCCGAGGGATTTCTATGTTACAGACAAGAGCCACCACATTCTAGAAACAGTAGGAAAATAGCTATCAAAATTCCGAGAATAGTAGGAAAATCCATAGCGACGCTTCTTGGTCAAAGTCATCATGTCCTGTACTCCACGACTGACCCCATCTGACTCTTGGGCTCTCTGCTACGCATCCACCTGGCTTTGCCATGGAATTACTGTCGAAGTTGGAGATACTGTCTATTGGGGACAGCAGTCAGTTCTGGCATTTCTAGGGTTTCCGAGCCACCTTCGACAAACACACCTAGAGCTGTTTCTCAAGTAAGAGGATCATCTTGGAAGAACGGACCAGCCGTGGGGAGCTGACCCCAACCATAAGCATCATCACTCGACGGAAATTCCCAGTGCCCGTCCGTTTCTCCCATGGTCATTGCATAGTTGGCGATAAGCGAACCGTCGTCTATCATGACATTGTCGCTGGCGGCACCACTCATGACAGAAAGCAAGTCGCGGAAGGATTCGATTAAAGTCCTTTGGCTACTGCTTGGTGATGATATAGCCGGCGTCCTCTCTGAGAAAAATGCTGTCCCTGTAGAACTGCGTCAGTTTCCTGTCTAGTAAGGCCTTGATCTCTTTGGAATCGACCTACCTGGACTACCATCTGAGGATGAATCCGAAACTTGTTCTCCCTCGGCAACCGAGGTGTGCTCCTCGATGAATCGATTGAAGAAGGTTTCCATAAACGTATTCAAACCGCCAATGACCCGTTCCCTGTCAATACCCGGCATGCGGTCAGCGTGGGCGACCAGCATCTCCGCCGCGCTTTCTTGCCAGTAGTTTCGCATATTCGTTGCTACCTCACGGGTAGGGCTGTAGACATAGGGTGACTCTGGTGGCGGCATATCGGGGAAAACAATGGCCCAGACGGCGAACCACTGCTCCTTCACGGCGAGCTTGCGGTCTACCCTCTCCTTGAGCTCCTTCTGCTGGTCGTGGGTGATTCCGTCGGGCGGCTGGTTGGCTCGCTTGTTGCAGTCCTGTTGCCTTGTGTGACACCTTTCCTCAGTTTGCGTCTCGAACTGTCGACCGCACCTTGAGCAGTAGTGAGGCTGCATATGCTTCCGATACAGATGCTGCTTCACATCTCTAATCCTATTCAGCTGTAATAAAGAGCACCGATTGTGGGTGCGTTTGTCTGCCTTGTAGAACGGACAGGCTAAGCTGAGATCAATGTCATTCTTGTCAGTGGCTGGACCTTGGAGTCGTGATCTCTTCCTTCTGGACTCATCCGGCAATTCGTCGTCGTCACTCCGATCCTGGCCATTGGTTTCATGTTGACATGCGCCTCTTTTGCGACGTGGCGAGCCTGTATTCCTGCTCCGGTGTTCTGAGGGCTTTTCTTCACTGGTTTCGCGGCTATGCTGGCATGTATTGTAGGTCGGGCCTGTCTCTGTTTCTTGTTGTGAAGGCGATGGGCAAGACCTGTTTTCCGTATTTGAGCCAAGTTTCCAGTGGCAAGGCCAGGTGAAAGGCCGAGCATCAGACTCGAACAGCCATTGCAGATATGAGATTAGGTTTCTGCAGATTTCAAGAGACTTCGCTTGGAGCCATCGATATCCCGTCACTAACGTGCTCAGAGCCCTTCCTTGGAAGTCAGTCTTGTCTGCAACTTGAGAGGAGATGGGGCTTATGTCCCGATAGACTTTGTCAGGTCTGGCAATATGAAGCCTTCGCTTTCCAATGGGTATCGATGAAGAGGTACCCTGTCCCCGGTGAGTGACCAGGTCTCCGCCGGCTGAATTCTCTCTGGGAAATCCAACGAAAGAGATGGAGACGATCTTCCGACCGGTCTTTCCGGAAACAATTTCAGAACTTCGACCCTGGACGGCTAGAGAATGGCGCGTAATTCCAGGCTGTCTGCACGTCTTGATATCTTGAGGAAAGTCATGCTGATCCATGGCCATGGGGTAAAAGCCCCCTTGGGAAAATTGCAGCTCGTAATGAGCAAACTTAACAGAAGCTTCCAAGTCGAAAACTGTGGTAAGGGGCAGAAATCTTGTCGTATCATTGCCAGAGTCGACCGAGCGTTCTGTTCGGAATCCTGGGTTGTCAGAACGTTTTGTTGACTGAAAGTTCCGTTGTAATAGCAGCCTGGTACCGAAGTCCTCGGAGGCCAGATGAGGTGCGTTGGTCAGGAGACGACCTGCACGGTAGTTAGGAGCATGGTATTCCGGGATTTCCTTGGCGTGTAACGTGTCTCGCGAAAGGCGTGGAAGTTCTGCTGTTGGACGTATCGAGTTTTCCATCATGCTTGTGTACCAAAAGTTATGCCAAAAGCAATCCACGCTAAGGTAAGAGTCCGAGACGTTTGTAAACGTCTTCTCATGGACTGCTAACATCCACAGTACAGCGGGAGATATTATATACTTGGATGATGATCCGTCCACATCGGCAGCAAACGCCAACCAGAACCCAGGGAAGGTAATAGAGCCACGACAAATTCCACGGCAACTTGCCCGGTCAAGGGATAGATGAGAAAGTCGACAAGTCGAAAAATTTGATGAGCCCAGGAGGAGGGGTCCACGATAGAATAAGTCCACGATAAAGGTATTCCACGATAGAAGGAGTCCACAATGAGGATTATCCACGTTTGGTCTTGTCCTGATGGCATCCAAGTTTGGGTATCCAGCGGTCATCCACGATTCCCTGTCCTAGGGCACAGAGTCCACGTATACGGTCAGGCGTGTAGTCTATGGTCGGCGTTGTCGTTGGTATTATTGTCGTCGTCGTCGTTATCGACAAGGGCGTTGATCTATCGAAACGAATCAGTACAAAATGAAGGATGATAAGAAGTGAAGAAGCAAACATCATGAATCACAACTTCCTCGTGTTTAAATATCAACCCCAAAGAGGCAGGCCCATGCGAAACCCAACAGCTCGAACAGAGAGAAAGAGCACAATTGTGCTCCCATCATTCGCTGCAGCTCCTTCTTTCCCTTTTCCTTTCTTCGGGCATGCTCTGCATCGTGCATAACGGTGATTGGCCTTGCCCCCGTCAGTTCCGTCATCCTCCCAACCCCGGCCACACACTTCTTCCACTTCACCATCAGGCTACGTCCACCTAATAGGTCAAGTAGGTAGGTATCTGCTGACGAACCTGACATCATGGGCGTTTTACCTCCTCATAAAATTCCAAACACTCTGGGAAATGGGCTACTGTCCTCAGACCAAATTCCCATCCTTCCAACTCATGCCCTGCGCCCTGATGCAATGCTCATGCAGGCTGCGCCGAGAAATGCAAACACTAACAAAGTGTTGGCTATATTCCTCTAACCCAGCTGGGACAAGATGCAAGCTCCTCAGACTAATGAAAGAATGTTCTGGTAACAATATCAAGGGCATCTTGCATACATGTCTCGGCAGCCTGTTACCATTGGCAGGTACAATTGGCGACATTGGCCATAGCCGGCGTAACCAGAATGGCAGGAAAGGAAATTGATAGCTGCTCCCAGTTTTAAGTCTTAACCACAGGCCAAGAAAAAAGAAAAAAAAAAGTTTGGCCACAACAGTAAGTCCTCTCGCACATATACCCCTTTTTCGCCCATATTGCCGTCAAGCCTACTTAAGTTTTGTCAACATCAGCTTTTATCACTGCTATTGCGCACGGGAAAGATACTCTGTGAGTTCGTCTTGTGTCTGCACGCGCATTAGACCCAAACCAAGCCTCCTAAACCAGAGATGCCAGTCAGCCTTACGTGCTTGGCATCAGCTGGCTGTAATCTCAAGCATACAAGTTTCCATCCATATCAATCAAGTCACCCCATTTCCCCGTCACTAGGTGATAAACCTCTGAAATAACAACAGGATTTGACATTATCAAAACGACCGGTGTACATTACACATTGTCCCGTTTACCATCCGTGAATGCACCGATCAATCTAAACCAACAAACAAGTTTGGAACGTATGCTTTTTCAGTTCAACAAAAAATGAAGAACCCCATCAAACGCCAGTGAGAACTGCCCAACATACCCCTGAAAGGAGAAGTTCCCTCATTTCGCTTTTTTCTCTCTTCCCCTTAGACAATGTTGTAAACCCGCTTGGCAATCAGGTAACAGCCCATGCCGAATGCCAAAAGTCCTGCGGTAATCGCCCAGAACCATTTCAGGTCCCCTTCGTACTCCTGGCCGGGAACCCACACGTTCATGCCCCACAGACCAGTGATAATGTTCATGGGCAGAACAATAGTACCCAGCACGGTCAGCTTGCCGAGAACGTCAGCCGTTTGCTCCTGTCTCTCGTTCATACGAATGTTTATTTGAGCCAAGTAGTTGCCGTGAGATCGCGCAAGGATTCTGGAGAGAAACGCTCGGTTAGCTTGGGTTAGATCAGTCTTCAAGGCTGAATGACTTACTTTTCATAGTGACTGAGGTTAGACGTCATGGTCACAATATGATCCTGAATATCGCCCAGGTACAGTCCAATATCAGACTTGGGTGCGACATCCCAGCGTTCGTTGCAGCGCTTCGCAAATCCCTTGATGACATCTGCCTTGTTGCCGAGCAGACGGTACAAGCTCATCACTCGTTTACGGCAGTCGCCCACCCGGCGAAGCATATCGCCTTCAGATCCCACAGTTGTTCCTGTATTGCTGGCCTTCTCGTCAAAAACGTCGCTCTTGGAGTTGCCAGTAGAAGAATGCAGCCTCAGGATTTCATCATCAATGTCGTCGACTTCATCCTCAATATTTTGGATCAATGGCACAAACACATCGGTAATGTCGTCAATGATTGCGTAGGAAATCCAATCAGAGTTGACGATAAGGTAGTCCTTCAGCTGACGGATACGTCGGCGGACGTTGGCGGGATGCGGTGTCATGGAGAAATGGAAGCTGATGACACCCTCGCGGAAGACGATGACATACATGTTGACGGGTTCCAAATAGTCCTCACTGTTCTGATCCTGGTCAAAGGATCGGTAGTTGACAAAGTAGTAGTGGCGGAATAGTTCAACCTTTTCTCGCGCCTCCTGAACCATGATATCCTCAGCTGTAAGCGGATGGATACCAAAGGCCTTGGACAACACCTTCATCTCCGCTTCCGTTGGAGAAAGGACATCGAGCCACCACACAGGTCGTTCGCCGTACCTCGGTGCGTTGACGAGCAGCTCTGGCGTCTGGGTTGTCTGGTTGCCGACGACCGGCGATCTAATACCGGTAGGGGTACGATGAACGGATCCGGCGCGGGAGCTACCACCCGAAGTTTTGTCAGGAGACTTGATGCCCTCTCTTCTCTCTTGTTCGGATTGAGTATTCGCGAGTGATGGCTGCCGTGTGGGAGCTCTAGACTCCCCGTTTTGGCCAGTGTGGGAGTGATGCGTAGACAGGGGTGGCAGACCACCATCGTCTTCACTATCTGTGCTCTCGTCGTCGGAGAGAATACGCGGATCTGGGATGAACAGCTCTTGGAAGTTACCGCCGGGCTGCACAAGTTCCGAGATTGTCTGACTGTGGATAGTGCTCTGGAATTCCTCGTTGAAGTAGGTAAAACGATAAGGAGCATCTTCCTCGGCACGGTACCACTCCCGGGTAATTGGTCGTAGACGGCCGTTAATGAGCTGAGGCTCGGTAATCCGCTTGGCGCGTCTCTCGTCGCTGCGTCCCTCCTTTTCGAAGCGGCTCCATTCTTCCAGAATACCAAGATCGGGCCAGCGGCGTCGACGACGCCTCGGGCGTTGTTTGGCAGCGGGGTCTTGAGAGTGACCTTCCTCGTCACCAATTTCCGAAATCCCGCTCGGGAAGCAAACATCCTCCTGGGCGGTCAGGGCAATGGTGTTCCTCCGTGCTAGATCGGGCGAAGAGTGATTATGAACATCCCGGTCGGAATGTGACCCGATGCTGTTTCTTGGGCTTCCACGCGGCGAGGTACGAATATCAATCTCGTCTTCGTGAATCATAACATCCCCGAAGCTCAGATTCAGGGGGTCGGAAGGTCGGAAGGTGGGCGACCCAGGCATGGATGGTGGGTAGTTGACATTATAATTGTTGTCTTGGAACGGGGTTGCAAGCTTCGTCCTCGAGGATCTGCTGGATCCGCGTCGGCTCACTCGTTGGCGAGGATCGCTCGAACCATAGCCGGGGAACATGGGTGCGGTGGAAGAGCGCTGAATGGACCTTGACAAGAGAGGGGCACCCTCGTCCCACGAGCCGTCCTCGTCGCCACTATCTCCCACGTATGCGTTGCGAAGTCTGCTGCCGGTTTGTGGTGTTGTCGTCGTGGCGGGGAAGGGGGCCGAGTTGTTCATTATGGAAGGCCTGCGAGGTCGGAGTGGCTGTGGTTGATCTCTGCATTGTGTAAGTTAGACATCGTTACGCCTGACATTAGGGACCACGCGAACTCACCTGTGATCCAGGAGTTCCTGGCTGTCAATGCTCGTGTTGCTTAAATTCGTGCGCTGGCGGTAAAAACCGTCTCTCTCGGGTGCCGTGGGCGGAGCTTCGTCGTGAGACTCCTCAGCGAGAACGGCGAATGACTTGCGCCGATTGCGCTTCTTCTTGGCGCCGCCGCGATGGTTCTTTCGCCGACGGGGCTGCTGCTGCTGTCCGTTCTGGTCATTCCCGTTCGCGTGGCTCGAGGGTGTCGCTGGCGGGGGCGGTGCTGTTGAGCTCGATCCGGGAGTATTGGACTGTCTCCGGGACGTCGGCGTCTGTAGATGAGCCGCCAAGGGCTGGAAGGGATTGCCAGACATGTTGGAGGCGATATGTCACACCGTCTCTTGCAGCGCTTGTGCCGACTACTACTAGAGAGACCGGACCAGGTGGGTGCCGCAGGTCGGCGTCGAGCAGACTGCAGACGGCAGACTACCTTTGGCGTGGGTCGACGACTCCTGGTGTGTTTTGGTGGCGACTGGGGACGGTTTCCACGTGAAGCACGAAACGAACTGCGGGCGAGCTGGGGTAGATTTCAGCTGCTGTCTATTTTGAGTGGGCGTAGGCGTGGTGCGTGGGTCGGAGCTCTGTTGGAGAAATGGCAGCGCGAATATCGGATCGAATGCACTGTATTGTTTGAAAGTGAAGATAAGAGATGATAGAGTGAAGTCGGGAGATTCAAACTATGCAGCGATTGACAGTAAAGCTGTTAACGAAGGCGATATAGCGCAGATATCAGGCGACCGAGGCTGAGGAAGAAAAGTCTGCCGATGGTGTTGGAATTGGGGAGAGGGCGAGAAGCAGTCTAAGGAACAGCCCAGACTTGAGAGATAGAGCGATGCATCCGTTCCGTTGGTTGCTCTCGGTGATGTCAGTGGAAGGT